TATATGTGATTTACATAGTGATCTGCATCACGTTACACTATGATCATGCACCAGGTGACTGGCGAATCACCAATTAAAGTTAGATCTCAAGAAGTTATCTGAATTCATTTGCTTACGCTGAATGTGAACAAGGATTTAATAACAATGAACATGGCTGGTTAAAATATCTTAATCAAAATAATGATCAGCTGAATTCTTACTACAAAATATATGAAAAATATTCTGAATATATAAAATACAAATATTTTTGGATTGGATATGAAGGACAAGATGTCTTGTTCATTGATGATTTTCCAAATAATATCTATGAGAAAAGTTGTCTGGATGTTGGTACAGGTTGGCACAGGTTTACTACATATCCGCTAATACTTGGCTATCACTCTAACTTAAACAAACTTAAAGATTTTTTCATGTATTAAGATACTATCATGTGACAGTAACTTTTTTACAGTGATGCTGGGTAAGATCAAAAAGTATCTTAAATATCATTTGTTTTTGAACAAAATGTATAGTGTTATAAGATTATAAATATTTATTGAAGAATTTCTAAAAAATAGAATAAATTAAGAGAAAAATTGATATAATTATATATTGTTAAAGAACCTGTATATTGTTATGCACATATATATTAACAAAGTTGTTAAAATTACAGTTGAATTAATTTCAAAAAGTGATCGAAATGCCAAAAGGAAAAATAAAAACATATTGTTTGGCACTGTTGGTCTTACAACTTTTTATTCTTATATTTCTTTGCCCAGCTTTTGGTAATAGATATCCTATATATCATATTTTTAATCTAAGCAAATGTTGACATGTGTTTTTATAATATTAGCACTGGCAAAAGTCCTCATGTTTGATCAAACTAATGGAGAACTTAACTATAATAAAGGTGTTGAATATTCGTAAAAATGAACTAATTTTTAATAATAAAATCTTTTTAATAAAATAAATATCATATTATTTATTTTTTTATAATTTTTTTAGTTATATAGCACTTACTTGGTCAACAGCTGGTAAGAACTTCATTAATTTTGAGTGAATGGCTTAATATCTCAAAAATATAATATATTTTTTAGCAATTGGTTTTCTTGCAATATGTTATTATTGTTTTTTTAAAATAAAAGACTTTAGGTACAGTACTAATATTTACTTTTAAGAAAATAATAGTTATAAAAACTAATAAACAATATTTTGTTATAGAGCTTTAACAATTATTACATCAGTAGCTTGGTTTGTTCTACTAAGTAAGTTTTTAAAACTTTAGAGTAACTAATTACAGTATTAGCATGTAACTTTTTTAACCTAGTTATTTACAGTTATTTACACCATCTTCACTATACATGAAATTGATCTGATCCTATTTGATTGTAAGTACGGCTTTAAATTTGCAAAAAGTAAAACTGCTTGTAAGATTCAAGCAGTGAATTTTATTTTTATGTGGTTATATTTAGCTTATATGATAGTCAGCCTTATAATCATGATTACTTTGATGTTTGAAGAAGATAAAAAACTTGACAACACTAAAGCGAATGAAAAAGTAAAAAATCTATCACTGAAATAAATGAGATAAATGATGAAATAATTGAAGAAAGTGATGATAAAGCTAATATATGAATGAATTATAATATTTATACATCAAATATATGAATTATAATGTTTATTCATTATTTTACATATTATAATAAAGTTTATCTAATAAAATAAAACTCTTTATTATAAACTAACTGCTAGCACTATAGAATAAGTATAGCTTCAGATACTTTTTTCTGTGAAATTTACTATTTTTATACTCTTTTATCTCTTGACTATTCTCATTAAATTGTCTATATCATTGCAAATATACTTGCTATAAGGTAGAGGGATATATTCTAGCAAAGCAAAATTTGCTGATAGTAAAACTTCATTAAAAATATTACAAATTATAAGTTTAGTGTAATATAATATAAATACGTATGTGTATTTCGTAAATGATGAATAACGAGAATGGTAGTTGTTAAAATGTAAGACTATATTATACTTTATTAGCTTTTTGCACCCAAATTCGATTCTATATGTTGTTCGTTTTGGTGTTCTTTTTTTGTTTTCTTAAATTTTGATAGATTCCTCATTATTCATCAATCTTATATTAATGAGGCGAAAGTATTGTTAGTTTAACTTAGGTTGTCTTTCGGGGGTTTCAGCTCTGCTAGGTAAATTCTTGATAGGTAATCAAAATAAATTGACGCTCATAATTTCTGGTATGTTACAAGGCTAATAATGAATTAATACATAATCTAATAATGATAGTTATGATAAATTCGAGCTGGTGATCAGGTTTTTTGTGGGTAAGGTTTCTGTAAGAATATTTTCAGATCCTATTTTTTGATAGCTAAGTAACCCCTTAGGTTGGTACGACTTTAAGTAACCAGGTTTTTTTAAATTAGTTTCTTCTTTTGGGATGATTTAAGATGTAAATATTTCTTTCATCCCAAAGATAACAATTTGTTTTGGGTGGTTTCATAAAAAAATTACTAATCAAAGATCATAAGATTGTTGAGATTAAATTTTTTTTTTGAATTGATAAAGCATCTAACATCTTTGGTTAATTCTGGTTTGTTTTGAAGTTTCTATCCAGATGTTAAAAACAAAAAAAAGAAATATCTTTTCATTTGGAGCTAGCATACTTTTCAAATAATTGTGTAATCATATCTACCGATATTTTTGCTATTAAAAATATTAAATCTAGATATGATTGTTTTAATCTTTCTAACAATAAATATTTAAACTGATCTTATAAACTGAAGGTTAATAATATCATTAACCTTTAGTTTCCGGGAGGTGTTATGGAAGATTGTCATTATACTTTTGTAATTCATTTTCTTGAACTCTACTTTTAAAAACTACCACTATTTAAAAAAACTGCTTTCATACCCTTGTTTAGATTTTATGATACTGCGTCTATGTTCGCAAGGCCTAGTAACTTTATGATTCATAAGAAAATCATAAAGGCTAAATGTATTATTTTTAATGTAAATTTGTATTTTTTTTAATTCTTATTCAATAAAATTTTAAATAAAATAATTCTTAAATAATAAAAAGTAAATAAATTTGGCTTTTATTTACAGCGCAATAAAGGTTATTCTAAAGTACAATACTATATAAAAGTAAAAGTCAAAAAAGAATCTATCTTTAATCACTTTATATATGTTTTCTATTAACTAATAATTAGTAAAAAAAGCAATTATATAATTATATTAATATGGTCTTTTATACAAGAAAAATATAATAATAAAAATCTATTACAAAAATTTTGTAACAATCATAGACAATTACTTCAAAAATTTATTGATCATAAAATGTATTCATGTTATCGATTTTTGAAAGTTGAATTACAAATTGCAATACTGACCAATCATATTTTTTTGTATTTTGTTATAAAAATATATAATTGATAAATCATATATATTTTTTATATTTTTACAAAACCATGAATAATTTCATCTGACTTCTGTTTTTTTCAGAAAAATTGTATTTAAAATAATTAAATTGAAGTACCAAAGTTAGTTTTTTGATGCAGTAAATTTATTAAAATTAATATATTAGTTTATACTCACGTATACTTTTAATGACTAATTAGTATTAATAATTTATCTCAATAAGTAAATCAGTTGTGTATATGCTACCAAAAAATTTCAGGTTAAGTAATAATAATATCTAATCCATTGAGAATTAGCGAAAACTTCATTTCTGCTTATTCATATACGATCAGGGTATTATTAATTAATCCTCCTGTGATCTTGATATAGTGATCAGAGATTATTAAAAAAAATATACTGATTTTTTTATTATGTGCACTAATATAATAGGAAACTATTTTAACAGTTTAAATATTGCCAGGATATTACTCTTTAATAACAACCCGGTTAGCTAGTATAGTATTTTTAAGGTTATTTAAGATTTATATTGAAGTTGATTATAATTTAAAAAAACTATTTTAATTACTAAGACAAATCTTGACTTTACAATTAGTAAAGTTAAAATTTAGACCATTCTAGTGAAATACTTGAGTATTATCATGTTGAATTGTTTGTGAAATATATAAAAGCGAATTGGCTTGGTTTTTATTTTATCAATATTTCATTGTCAGAGTTAATCTACAGTCTAAAACCTGACAATTTAAATATGATTTATATATAAATTGACAGGTTTTTTTTATACTACTGCTGCCACTTTCAGCAGACACAACACTCATCAAACCATAGTAACCTACTATTTTGATAATTACATATATACATATATAGTATATTAATAAACGTATAATTTTACTATCATTAATATTCATTCCTTAGCCCACACCTTTGTAGGCCAGGCTAGTTAATAAAAAAAGTGCTAGAATCTACTGCATATTTCAGGCCAGAAATTAAATAAAAATTGGCTAGTAGCATAATTGAATTGGGCTTATTTAGATGATAAACTGACAAATTATGAATAATAAATACATTTATTAAAGAATTTCTAAAAGAATAAGATAAATTAAAAAAAAAATTGATATGATTATATTATGCACATATATATTAACAAACTTGTTCAAACTACTGTTAAGATTAATTGTTAGATTAATTTCAAAAAATGTGAAATGTCAAAGGAAAAATAAGAACATATTGTTCGGCGCTGTTGGTCTTACAAATTTTTATTCTTATATTTCTTTGTTCAGCTCTTGATAATAGATATACTATTGTAATATTTTTATAATCTAAGCAAACATATTGATGTGTATTTATGATTTTTAATATAGCACTTTATTTTTTTAAGTAACTAATTTACAGTATTAACAAGTAACTTTTTTTAAACCTAGCTATTTACACCATCTTCACTATACATAAAATTAATCCGATCCTATTTGATTATGAGTATTAAGAAATAATTACTCAAATATATTAATATAAAAGTGGTAGAAAGATATAGTAAAACAAGAAAAAATATTGAGTTTTCAAATATAGTTAGTTAAAACACAAAAACCAGAATATAGTATATATAAAATACATAAAATATTTCTAGTAAATTTAAATTATAGTTTATATAGCTAAATATTTTTAGTTGTATAATTGATCGATTCAATCCGAATATATGACTTGAGTTACCAAATCAATCTTGATTCAGGCTTAACTTAAAAAGTGCTAAGCCTGCTACTTCAAGATTTTATGGCACTAATATGTTAACTTATATTTAATAAGAATTGTTATTTTTTGAGCTTTAAAAAAAATCAAAATTAGCGAACTCTTCGCAGCTATTAGAGCCGAGCTTCAAACGGTGAGCACCTCTACAGAAGAAAACCCATCCAAATTATCACCAACATCACTAGACTCCTATGATTTGGATATATGCTACAACAGATACCTTTACTTCTATCAATTACCTCTAT